ATCGTCACCCCTAACCACTGGGCTCCCCTGCTGCACCCGAGGAGCGGTGGGCTACCCGGTCTCCCCCTGCTCAGCTCCTGCCCCTCTCCACCCAGTGCTCACTCTTACCCTCACCCCCACCCGCACCCCCACGAGGCTCCTGCCACCCTGTATGCTGTGCTGAGAGCCAGAATGGGGGGCCGGCATAACTCTGGTCTCTCCGGCCCTGCCCCCCTGGGTGAGCGAGCACAGGAAAGGGTGGGTCACTAGCCCCAGATGAGTGGACACTGTGGGCGGCCAGTAGCTGCTGCCCAGGCAGGTGCAGTCTCCTTAGTGTGTGGTGCGGCCGCGGGGCCCACCGGGGCCTGGGCGGGGAGGGTGAGAAGCTGGGAGGGGCAGAGGGCAGCCTGACCCTGGCAGAGAAAACGCGGAGCCTGCTGAGGAGGCAGGAAAAAGAGGGGAGTCGCCATGAGATCCGTGTTTCGAAGGCAGCGCCTCAGAGCAAGGCGGGGCCGGCCGGGCCCTGCAGGTCCTCGGGTGTCAGGGCTTCGGGGCGGGACGGGCAGCAGGATGAGGCCCTGTGGCCTGCCCCCAGCAGAGCCAGCACCTCCGGTGAAAACTCTTTAAGAGCCACACCGTTAAGCCTCCGAGGACCCCTCTGGGCACAAGTGGAGGAGCACCTCGCTGTCAGAAGGACCACAGTCCTGCACGCACACGCCTGCCCCTGACCTCTGTGGGGGGCCCGGAGCTGCCGATCGGAGCCCCGTGAAATGGGTCACGGACGGGGGCTGGGGCTGGCGGCTGCCCCCTCGCTGACTCCTTCCCCAGCTCCACGTGAGGCTCCTGTGCCCTTTCAGGGACTTGGTCCTGGGGTGGGAGTGGCCACCGATGATGACGCTAATGAGGACACTTCTCCCTTTTCTGGTTGGAGGCCAAAGAAGAACGGATCGTTGAGCTGGAAACGGAAAATGCTGCTCTTCACCTGAGACTGGCCCAGGTAACTGCCACGTCTCGTGGCTGAGCTGTGAGGCCCGGTGGGCGGACCTCAGTGGTCAGTCTCCCAACGGCCCCCG